ATGTACAAACAGATTTCCTCAAAATTGGAAGGAACAGGTAACGAGTAGGCTACTTTCGGTCAGACCTTCATCAAGTTAAAAAATATAAGAAAGACGGTGACATATATACAAGACCAACATATTTTTTTTTGGTTCATTTGTTTTTAACTTACCCGGTCAATTGTTTTATACTTGCTCTTCTTTGATTTTTTGCGGCTCTCTGAAAATTCAACATTGTAAAATATCAAAAGGCCTCAATTCAAAATGTAAAACAAATCAAAGTAAATAATAAATTAACATTTACAGTAATGAATACCTGTGTATACACACAGAGCTTCCACGTCAGTGGAAGGTAGCCTTTTACCAGCCATTTATAACACATCGATTATGTAATAGTTGTGAATTAAAAACAAAGAAATAAAATCTTTGATCTGATTTTGTATGTATTGTCATATTGATTATAGTTCAGTTATCCCAAAAAGTCTTCCAGTGACTAGGATCATCAAAACAGCTGGTGTACCATTATCTTACATATTCAACGTTAAATAGGTGCCCAACAAAAATACACCAAACCAATTGATATTTAACTTGTCGGGTGTTTTTTTTATACTTCACTAATTTCCCCAAACTGAGCCTAACTATTACCGTACTTTATAGTTCATTCCTTCTGGGTAAATCACAATACTAGTTCAGACTTACAAACAAACGTAATAAATGATTAATAGGCTTCGATTTGAAATCGAAACTGCAACTTGCGCCCTGGATTCAAAAGAACCCTTTCCACAATACAAATAGGTTTAGGATATAATTTTACAATATCAAAAAGCTGATTGTCAAAACTATTTCAAACATGCTGAATAGATCAATGCCCTGGTAAAGTCAAGGGCAGCATAAAGTTTCAGCAGGTATGTCGTGCCTCAGAGGGTAACTCGTCGATTTACATAGGGCCGGACACGTGACTGCAGCTCCACACTGTAGTCCTACGCTAGTGACAGACAATATGCAGTAGCATTTGACATTTATTAATGCATGCTATTAGAAATAGCAATATAGGTGTTCCCTCCAAATAAGGACGTACTTCTGGGACCAGGGTTTCCATGGTTTCAATAGAATAATCAAGATAAAAAGGCATTTGTTATGGGACCACAGAAGAGTGGTGTTTGGCAGTATTTAACTGGAGGTGTATTTGCCTTTGTACAGGGTTTTTCATAACAATAATAGCCTATATTGGCTTTTATGGTTCTTTTGAAATTATCAGGCTATCCTGTCTGTCTTAAGATAATTATGGAAATGCCTAAATAGTCAAAACAACTGCATAGCTCACACAAGAATAATCAAACATCATCTTTGAAAGATAGACATATCAAACAAGATTTAGCTCATCACAAACACTTGATATTTGCGGAGGTTGTAGCCTCGATTGATATCATTAGGAGATATTGTAAAATATAGATAGTCTAGTCCATGAAAAGTGAACTTTTAACATGGTCTATTCAAATAAACCGTACAAATAACTTCGAGTCTAGCAAACATTTTAAACGCAAACATATCTGTGCTGAGTAGACATGTTAAAGAACATAATGGATGCATAAGTAAGTTGTACGATGTGTGTGTTTGTCTGTTTCAACGTAGTGGTTGCAGTGTAGTATTTAACGAATAGCCCATGCACTTTTCCGAGTAAAGTAGGGATTGTCTCATCCCAGTGCCCAACCACCACCCCCTCTGGAAATAAATCTTCTTCTTCAGGCTTTCGTGGGTTATATAACTTGGTGTTTTACACCGAATAAATCCAATCCAATATAGAGTAATGTTTGATATTTATTAATGCATGTTAATAATTAGAATGACAATATAGGTGCACCTCCAATTAAAGACCACTTCAGTGACCAGCTTTAGTCTCTAATTAGAATAATAAAGATAAAAGGCATTAGTTATGGGACCACAAAAAGTAGTGTTTAATTAAACAGCTTTAATTGGCGGTGCCTTTAATAAGAGGAAGACCTGTATTTGCCTTTGTGGAGGTTTTTTTTTTTAATAACAGTAATAGCCCGGATATTGGCATCTCAACGTTCTCTTGATATCAGACTATCCCTCCTGTCTTAAATGGAAACTCCCTAAATAGAAAAACAAATCAGTGAATAGCTCACACAAGAATAATCAAACATCTTTGAAAGATAGACATATCAAACAAGTTTTGCTCACCACAAACACTTAATAATAAAACTCATCAAATTGATAATTAACAACGGTACTCAATCAGCAACTGTTTGTTCATGTGACATTATAATAGGCCTAATTAGGTCTTATAAGAATGATAATTGCGGAGGTTGTAGCCTCTGACATTAAGATACGGTATATCATTGCTATAGTTCATAACAATTGAACTTTTAACATAGTCTATTCAAACAATCCTAACAGAGAACCTTGGGTCGAGCAAACATTTTAAACGTAAACATAGCTGACTATTCTGAGCAGGCATATTTAAGAAAATGATGCCCCACTTTAATGTATTAACTTAAGTGTGGTACGGTGGGTGTGATTTTGTTTCAACGTTAGTGGTGTTGCAGTAATATTCTTATTATTTGACGATTAGCTCTATTTAATTTATTGCTCGATTCATAAATAGCTGCCATTTTTATATTGAAAATTGAGCAATAATTTTTCTATGCTTACAACGTTTAACATTAATACAAGTTATGCTAATAATTAGTATATACCGTAGGTGTTTGTGTTGATGTATGTGTATACATACATATACATATACAGGATACACTCCTGTCTCTTATACACATCTAGATGTGTATAAGAGACAGGTCTCATCCCAGTGCCCAACCACCACCCCCTCTGGAAATAAATCTTCTTCTTCAGGCTTTCGTGGGTTATATAACTTGGTGTTTTACACCAATAAAATAAAGGACGAATTATAATTGACTTTATTATATCAAGGAATAGTTAGGCTATATATAATCAATACAGGCTAAAAGTTAACTGAAATTTCCACTATTGATTACATACCTTTCGGGAGTCGGAATCCAAACTTCAGCGACTGCGTCTTCTTCTCTTTCGAGGACATTTTATCGGACGTATGACATATACGAACGCCGGGGCAGACAGCGTGCCCCACGAGTAGCGTGTCGTGAGTTCCACCAAGTTCGATGATAGATCTGGGAAAATGTGCTCATTTACAACTTCGTTGTTTTTCCAACTTCTGTTATAGAATAGAATACTACCAAAATCAGTGGCACTAACTATTCATCGTCGTCACGGTTGATGTCCGACCTCCCTTGCAAAAAAGGGTAGGGCTTTTTAGCATAAGAAAAACGCAATGGTCACGCTGTCCTGTTCAACACAAAGAGTTTTTATGTTACGGGATTTTATGCAGAGATCTATTATTTACCCGTCCATGACTTGGGTTTTAAATGAATCTGATCGTGGTTACGCGCGTGGACAATGGACTCTGTTCAGTAATAATATAACTAAAAGTTCATTCATTTGTGGATATACTAATGTAAGCTAACATGAAGTTCAGTCAAAACACCCACATGGTTCTTGGTTTATTAATGATAATTCCTAAACTGCCAAAATCAGCTAAACTATGATGACTGAGTTGATTGTTGAGACTGCAAATGTAGCCAATCCAGGATCAAGTAAATCCGCTTTCAATTGTTGTTATTTAAAATACCACAGCAATTTAAGTTTGCAGATATGTAGGCCTTCATTAGGTACTGGACTACTTAAAACGGTTGCAGACGGATACAAATATGGCTCTTTGTCCACCACTCTAATGTCAGGGTTATTCGAGGTAACTTTCTATGATATTTACTCAATGAGTACGTTCTCATTTAGAAAAGTATCTTTGCAGGTTTACATTGAATAATTGAGTATGTTGTACGGTACTATAGATCCCATTTCAGTTGGCCTTCCATAAAATATTACAAAAAGCCTTGCCGGATGTCCCGTCTGCTCTGTTCGTTGTCTAGTCTGTTTTCTCTATGGTATGATGAAGGTGTATCATATTTATATTCGACATTTTTTCAACAGTACGTAACGTTACGTTCAAAGAAAAACAAAACAAAACTTAACACATCAAGCTAAAAAAAGAACTTCAGAGTAAACTTTAAAAAAATGTTGTTAACCTCCCTGCCTTCACCCTTCAGCCCATGTATTGGCACTCAAAACTCATCACTATTTTTTAGACTGCATCCCCGACCAGTGTTAATCTCTGTTATTTGCATTGATCTAGACCTAGTGCTTTTGCTTTTCGACTACGCATATGTGTGAAAGATTAGTGCTTCTATAATCGGATTCGAATTTCCAACGGTGGTTAATGTATCTTTATATTGTACCATATGATTTATTTATAAAAAGTATTATTATTGTTAAATGCGTAGGCCTATCATAGGCCCTATTTATATTTTCTATGAGGACGTATCATGTTGATTTCTGATATTTAGACATGCATATGCAAAGCAGTTTGAAAGGTTAGTGATGCTTAGTGATGGGCTTAGATTAAAATTCCCAATGAAACCCCACACAGTTGGTTATAAGGCGTCAGCATAGACAGCAGAGGCATCGGTTCAAATCCCGATTGGAGCAACATCTTTTTCACACTCGCTTATCCTGGTCTTTAATAGCGTTCATAATTTATGCATCATTGCAAGATGGTTGAGAGTTTCTCTATAATGCACCATGTATCCTTTCATTTCATTTCATTTCATTATTAATTTTAATCTAATAGAAAGAAAAACGCAATCTGAAAAAAAAATGGAAAGACCAGAGACAATCATTGTTAGCAGTGCTGACAGAAGGCCATCAGGCTGATGGACAGTGAACAGAACAGTAATCGGCAACACAACGAAATTTATTTTTTCCATGTTTGAAACTGCATAATCAATACTTTAAATTCTAAAAGAAAAGGAGCCAGGTTTTCAGGGAATTTTCTCCCTGGTGCACAATCGGGGCTTTTTTTCTGGACCCTCTCTGATGCTCCTGGAACTGCTCGCAATCCTTAGCTAAATCTTGTATTCTTCTGTACTATAATCCTATAGCCATCTTCAACGTATCTTTCTATCATCAAGCTGACAATAAATTCATAACCGCCCGCTACGCTGTAATATTGAGCACTCTTCAGATAAAGAAGAGCAGTGCCATCATCGTCGTTCTATAAGAAGCTTTGCAAATAGGCTATGCTCCCAATGAATTGCTAACGTATTCTCATGCGCAATACCGCGGTTTCGCTATCTAATAATTCTATTCAAATATACATGTCTGTTGATTATTACTGCTTGTATCAGACTACAACATTAATATTTATGGTCGTCTTGTTACCTGAGAAAACAGATGCATATAGACGTACGCATTCGGCGCAATGCTCAGCAATGGGCAGGCAGAAAACAGTAGCCTACATGAGTTGATTGCCAACGAGTTAATTTGATGCCAACATACAAATAATTTATGTAAGTTCGTCAAATATTCTTGTATTTCTTATTTAGAACATGCTTGTGTTTAATACGATTGGAAATCGAATGGAATTATAACGTCAATATCTGTTGTTGAACTCATATAAAGAAATAAAAGACAGATAGGCCTACACATAGGCCTAATATCAATAGTTTGATGATCAGCAATCAGTGCAATTCCAAAGCTATATTATGAGTATAAAATATATACGCTAAAATAACACGTAGGGTATAGTAAATTATATATTTTGAATTAATTATGATAAAGATTTTGCTTAAGCGTACTGCCGTGCGCGGGTTCTGAGTCATGAGCTGTCTTTGTAATGAAGTAATGTCTCAAAACATTGGGAATCGACTAATTAAATGCACAAATAGGAATCCTTTATGCTAAATGTGTTTTATGGTATCAAAATAGCATTCAATATAGTAAATAATGTATAATGATGTCACCTTTGCTTAAACAGCTTGTTTCATTGACCAAAATGTTACCCTGACGAATTTTTACATTTATGAAATTTTTATTTCTAATTCAATTTTGTTTGCAAGGCCACCGACCATTAGTGCTGTACCAACATGTTATATTCCTAATTGTGTTCAGTTTTACTTCCTGATTATAGGAAACGACTTAACACACTTTACTTAAAGTGGCTGGAATAGGACGATCATAGACCGGAGTTCAATGGCAGGCCGTTGTTTTTAGTATTGTAAATTTTATTGGCCTACTTACTATTTACGAGGCCTGCGAACGTATACCGGTAATCTATAGTCTAAGTGTTATCTTGAGGCACGATTGGTTAGTATTACGGTATCATACCAAAATAAAATCATAGGCCTTATGAGGTACATTATATGATGTAATAAGCTGTGACGACTTGCCTTTACTAATTCAAAAATAATTTATTTGGTTAGTTTAAATAAGATTCATACATAATTCTAAAAACGCACTTGTACAGTACATACGCTAAATAGCCGAGATCTCACATTAGTATTTTAATTTCAAGAATTTTTTTTTCTAGGTTCATGTTCAGACCAGACTGAAAACATATGTTGTTTTGTATCGTAAATTAAGACGAAAAGTAGCTGAGGCATATTTAGGAATATTTTAACTACTAATTATCATTTGATCATTATTATAACAATAAACATTGTTAGACCCACCATCGCCCTTGTCATGCTCATCCCTCTCTTAGGCTACACATTGTACTTTGCAATTGCAATTTATAAAAATGATAGCTAGGTTATTTCATGGTTATAGTCAAACACAGCCTTGTCTATCGTTCTATTACATCCGGTAGAGTTTTTATAGATCATCCTCAATTGCAATTGATATAGGCCTATTCATGAGTTTATGATGAAATTATGATTTGGTGGGCGATATTAATGACCAGAAAACTCAGTGTTCAATTATTCTCTTCTAGATCCTCTCCAGATGTAGGCGTGTGATAATAATATTAGTATAATTGCTAAATTTAAATATCACGGATAAAAAAAATGCAAATTGGACTTCTTCTGAAGCTTTAGGCTTATATTCTAAACCTTAATTTTGACTCCACCGGGAAATATTCCAAATCAGATGCATAGAATCACCCCTCTGTCGGACATGTTGTACCCACGGTCGGAATGCCCCACGCTATTTTATTTGTTTTGTTTTTTTTCTGATTTGAGCATTCCGTCCATTTAAACTATGTGGCAACATGTAAGCATCCTTCTGAGACATCTAGGACACATCCCATAATCCAGCCTGGATTTCGCTCTTAAAGTAATAATTGAAACCACTAAGATGAACACAATACATAACACCTGTTAATATTTTCTAGCCTATTATTATAATTATTGTATTATACATTGTTATTCTTCATATAGGACTACCAGATATGTCATTATAATCGTGAGAAAATGTATGCGCATATTCTGGGGACGCTCCCAGATAGTGATTTCAAAATATAAACAGCATTTTGACAGTAATTTACAATCAACTGATTGTGAAAATGGCATCACGGCCTCATGAAAAAGGGTAGGTACTTTAATATGCCATATATTATATAGTGGTATCTCAATGATACACGCTGACTATAACTTAAAACCTAATTAGTAGAGCGGCTAAGGAGAAAAAATCGTGCACTTCTGGAAGAAAGCATGAAACTTCCCACAGTGATACTATGACACCTAAGGATCATTAAAAAAAATAGACCCCAAAAAATAAGCCGCTTAGTGGCCGCCATCTTGAAATTCAAAATGGCCGCCAAAATATTGGATTTTTATCAATAATCTTCATATCTACAGCGCCTAGCACTGTCATTTAAAGGTCTTTACATATGTTTTCGAAATAAAAAATTATCTTATGTCTATTATGTCAACGTATACGACTCTACTTTGTGCATTCGTACTCATTACATACATACATACATACATACATATATATATATATATATATATATATATATATATA